CATTAACACATTGGATCAGATATTGATAGAAAAGAAGCAAAACACTGATAGTATTATCAATTGGTGCTTGGATAATGAAAACGATCCTATTGCCCAAATCGTTCTTGCAAGGTGTTATCGTTTTGGTAAATGGATTGAAAAGAATGAGCATAAAGCATTTATTCACTATCAAAAGTCTGCTGATATGGAATTTTCTGAAGGAATATATAGTGTTGGTGCCTGTTATGATAGAGGGATTGGTGTTAATAAATATGAGAATAAAGCATTTATTCATTATAAAAAAGCTTCTGATCTGGGTCATATGATTGGAACTTTTAATATTGGTCGTTGTTATGAACACGGAACTGGAGTTGATAAGGATGAACATAAGGCATTTAGTTATTATCAAAAATCTGCAGACATGGGTTTTGTTAGTGGAATATATAATGTTGGATATTGTTATGAACACGGATTTGGCGTTGAAAAGGATGAACATATGGCATTTATTTATTATCAGAAATCTGCTGACATGAATCATGCTGTTGGAACATTTAATGTTGGAATTTTTTATTTTAACGGAATTGGTGTTGAAAAGAACGTAGATAAAGGATTTATTTATTATCAGAAATCTGCTGATATGGGTTATGTTAGTGGAATATATAATGTTGGATGTTGCTATAAAAACGGAATTGGAGTTGAAAAGAATGAATATAAGGCTTTCATCTATTATAAAAAATCTGCAGAGATGGGAAGCGCTAATGGATCACAAAATGTTGGATATTGTTATCATCATGGAATTGGAGTTGAAAAGGATGAACATAAGACTTTCATATATTATAAAAAATCTGCAGAGATGGGAAACGCCGGTGGTGTATTTAATGTTGGATATTGTTATGATGAAGGAATTGGAGTTGAAAAGGATGAACAAACTGCATATATTTATTATCAGAAATCTGCTGACATGAATTGTGCTAGTGGAACATATAAAGTTGGGTATTGTTATTTTAATGGAATTGGTGTTGAAAAGGACGAACATATGGCATTCATTTATTATCAAAAATCTGCGGAGATGGGAAACGCTGATGGAACACAAAATGTTGGATGTTGTTATCATCATAGAATTGGAGTTGAAAAGGATGAACATAAAGCTTTCATTTATTTTCAAAAATCTGCAGAGATGGGAAACAAAAAAGGATCACTAAATGTTGGAATTTGTTATCATAATGGAATTGGAGTTGAAAAAGATGAACATAAAGCTTTCATTTATTATCAAAAATCTGCAAAGATGGGAGACGCTGAAGGAATATTTAATGTTGGAAATTGTTATTATATGGGAGTTGGAGTTGAAAAGGATGAACATAAAGCATTCATTTATTTTAAAAAATCTGCAGAGATGGGAAATGCTAAAGGAACACAAAATGTTGGATATTGTTATCTAAATGGAATTGGAGTTGAAAAGGATAAGCATAGGGGTTTCATTTATTATCAAAAATCTGCAGAGATGGGAAACGCTAGTGGAATATTTAACGTTGGATATTGTTATGCTAAAGGAATTGGAGTTGAAAAGGATGAATATAAGGCTTTCATTTATTATAAAAAATCTGCAGAGATGGGAAACGCCGAAGGAACACAAAATGTTGGACATTGTTATTGTAATGGAATTGGAGTTGAAAAGGATGAACATAAAGCTTTCATTTATTACCAAAAATCTGCAGAGATGGGAAACGCTGTAGGGGCGTTTAATGTTGGATATTGTTATCAGGGTGAAATTGGAGTAGAAAGGGATGTACATAAGGCATTCATTTATTATCAGAATTCTGCTGAGATGGGGAATGTCAGCGCAACATATATGGTTGGACATTGCTACCATTTTGGAATGGGGGTTGAAAAGGATGAACATAAGGCTTTCATTTATTATCAAAAATCTGCAGAGATGGGGCACGCTAAAGGGATATCGACAGTTGCAGAATGTTATCGTGATGGAATTGGAATAAGAAGAGATCTTGATAAAGCCAAATACTGGTATCAAAGGTAAATTTTAAGTTTAAATTTGTGCTGTTTATTGTAACGTAACAATCAAATCATAAGATCAGGTGCGATTAAATTAAAAAAGTATATCAATTTAGAGTTAGGGTTGGGATTAGAATAAGATCAATGTGATGTCATAAAAGGTGTTTTCAAAAGAGAGTTAAAACGACTTTAAAGAAAAGGATCGTTTAAACCTGATCTTGGTATTTGATTGGTAGTTCTAGGATAGTCAACTTCTTCAATACAATAATTACGGTATATATACTATGTATTTATTTAATAATATATCTAAACCGCCGCCGATTAGGGAAAAAGATTTAACATTAGGCACGTATTGTATCATTACAAATTATAAAATTATTTTTATTAATTTATTTATTAACTAGATTTCATAAATAATAGCTACAAATGAGTTGATACATAATTCTGAAATTGAAGATTTGAAAAAATTATTGATCGAAAATAAATATCCGCTGACTTGGATTTCTTATGGCGAATTTAAAAATTTAAAGAAATAGGTAGAGGTGGATTTGCAACTGTATACAGTGCTATTTGGATTGATAATAGTAAAAGATTTAAAACTACTATTGCGCTTAAATTATTTCATAAATCAAACAATTGTCAAGAAGAATTTATAATAGAGGTAATTTCTATTAAATATCTTTTATTTATATTATTCAAGATTTATCATCTCATATTAATAATTTTAATGTACTATATTTTATTTAATAATAAGTTAAAAGCGTATTGTAATATCGGTCTTAAAGATCCAACTTTTTTAAAGTGTTTTGGTATATCAAGAGATAATGATTCTAAAGATTATATTCTTGTCATGAAATACGCTCCAAATGGTTGTTTGCGTAAAAATCTACATACTATGGCACAAATGGATTGGAAGGACAAATTAAACCTACTACAATGTATTGCATCAGATCTTCAGATAATTCATTCTCATGATCTTATTCATCGTGATTTGCATAGTGGAAATATTTTGCTTAATAGTTATAAAAGCGCGTACATTGCATATTTAGGGCTTTCGATAACAGCCAATATTGCTTTAAAATCAAAACCTGATTCAATTTGTGGAATTTTACCATATATTGCTCCTGAAGTTTTGCGTGGTGAACCATATACTAAAGCATCAGATATTTATTCATTTGGTATAATCTTGTGGGAAATTTTATACGGTAAGCCTGTACATTTTGAGCAGCAATCAATATTACAGTCTGAATTACAATATCAAAGACAAGTATGTGATGGTTTGCGACCACATATTTACGAAAATGCAGCAAAATGTTATGCAGATTTAATAAATAAGTGTTGGAATACATAACCAAATGAACGACCAACAATAATAGAAATTTGTGATATTTTTGCAGAATGGGAGAATAACGAGAATATTTTATCGGAATTAGATGAAGCTGATAAAAAATTACAAAATATAAAAATGAAAGATATACAAGTAAATATTGATTCGCATTATAAAAGTTGTTTTATTTCATCTAAAATCAATTATAAAGGTAATTACAGTATATGTTTTATTAATAAATTCTATTACCCTATATTATAGCATTATTTATTAATTCTTTTTATAGATAGTGAAATATATGAATTGGAGGTGCCAGATACTATAGATTATTAGACAACTTCTAATTTTGGAGCAACAATGTGGTAGAAAATATTGTGCATTACTAATAAAATTAGATTTGAACATTATATAGAATTGTACATGCTACTTATATAAATTTAGTAAAAAATTTTAAATTTTAACAAAACCTTTAATGAAAACTAATGAAATTTAATGATAATTTTTAGAATCAATTTATTAAATTTTTAAAATTTATTTAAAAGATTTGTACTAATTTTTTTATAATTTTGTTGATTTATTTTTATATAAAAAAGATCAAAAAATTTTTATTAAAAAAATATTTGATATATTTCTATATAACAATTTCTTGTTTAATAGCTTGAAATTTTTCTTATATCAATACGCATTAATTTTTATAATAGTGATTAAAACTCATGTTTTTTATTTATCGATTTTATAAATACGCCTTATAGAGATAAACTTTTAACGTGTATTTAGAAAAAAGTGCATTTAAGGATAAAGTATATATTTGATAGTATATTAGAGAGGTTGTATATTTAAAGAGAATGCATTTAAGGACATTATAAAAAAAATTTGTTAGGTCTTTGTTTAATTTTTGCGAAATATTTGGAGTCGCTATATTGAGAGTACAAAACGGGATAAAATCTGTACAGTTTTAATTTGTTTTAAAAAAATGCATAAATTTTGCAAAGAAATGATTAAACGATTAAAAAACAAAGATAAAATTGATATTGAATGATTAATCTAAGAAAATTACCAAGTCTTAAAAAAAAATAATCCATTTTTAAATTATTCATTTCATATGATTACTTTTAAATTCAATGTTTAAACTAAGATCTGAAATATTTTAATTAACACTTGATTATGGAATTTTGAATAAAATATGTTAGGCCTTTTGACTTTAAAGGCCAAAAATCGCTGTGAATTTAAAAATCAAATCTGGAAAATATGTTATTCAAGGACAATTTATTTTAAATTTTTGGTAAATCTGTCAAATATATTTGTTAAATAATAATTATTTTAAAATGTCCAGAAGCAAGATTATTTTAATACCATTAAAAGCGCAAAATAAATTAAATGAATAATGTATAATACACTATATTTGTAATAATAACTATAACTAATTCACCACTCCAAATACATATGGCATCTTCCATCACCAAATTCCTAAATTTTGAGTACAATACGTACAAATAAATATAATAGCAAAATTATATTATTGATAAATTAAGTAATCTTATTGTTAAAAAGTTTTTTTTTTATATATATATAAACTTGGAAAGCCACTCACAAAAACAGGTATATTTCATAGACGTAGATCTAACAAATTACAAAAATAAAAATTAAAAAGATAGGTGGTATGTTCCGGCAAGCCAGATTTGAACTAGCGACCTAGAGATATCAGCGTTGAGGTTTTCCTCACTACAGTCTCCCGCTCTACCAACTGAGCTATTGCCGGTATTTCTTGCATTTAAAAATTTTTTTCTTTATTTGATAGTTTATTGATGGTTTATCATTACCCGATTTAATTTGCGATCGACATAACACTCACGTGGTTCATTTTATCGACCGACCGAACCGATGTAATGTTATCAAGTCTGTGCCATATGCTGATATGTGTATAGAAGAGTAATACATTAGACATGCGTACCCCGTTTTGTATTTATAATAATTATTTGTAAGCGGAACATTAATAATAACAGTCATCTTCAACGTAAATGTCAAGATCATTTACTACAATCATTATCATTAACGTAATCGCTACCAAAGCATGTTCTAGTTATAAATTGCTCGTTCTGGGTTTTATTAAACTTATAGTGATTTTGAAGGATTGCTTCCGGAACTCTTTACTTAGACGATGAAAATGAAATGAACCTAGTTTTTAAATTATTGAACCATCATTAATAACTCCTCAAAATCATCCTAATTGAAAAAAAATTTAATTGGTAGCCATCGGTCCATTCGATCTAGTCCTATTTGGTCCTGGATCACGCATGATCTAATTTGATCCTTTAAAATATCAGTGGTCCTTGAATTAGGTCAGGTTGGACCGGAAGGACTGATTTACGGCCTAACTCAAGCACATGAATATTTGCCACTTAATTTATTTTATTCGCATTAATCTAGCTTGTTAATAAAAGAACATTTATCAGTCTATATAAATAATTAATTAATTTAATCACGCTAATTTAGCATGTGAGAATAAAGAATATTTATAAAAATCTAAGTACCGTAAAATATGTAAAATAAGCACAATACTCTCTACCCTGCTTTTTTCAATTTCAGATTAACGGGAATAACTCGATTAAAAATTTTATTGTTATTTCTGCTAATCTAAAATCAAAAAGGGTATTCTCCATGATTTACGGTATTCATGTATATTTACAATTGAATTTTATTCACAAGAATATTACGCGAGTACAAAGAATGTTTATTAAATTAGTATTTATTATTATATTCACATAAAGAAAATTTATTAATTATTTATAAATCTTGATTTGAAGTGCAAGCTTTAACGTCAAAAGAATTAAATAGTGCATTATACTACATGCGCTAAAAATGTAAAAATGACATCACAAGCAAGGAATTTTCCATTAAATACAGTAGGTTATTAAACTTCATGATTATTCTCATCAATCAGTTAGTGATCATAAAAAAATTATTTGTATTTCAATCTAAATGCAGTATAAATAAATAAAAAATGACATATGAAAGCATAAAGAATTCTGATATATAATTCTGACATATCAATTGAAGTATTAATAATAGAAGTAGTAGAGATTACAGATTTTATTTGAGGATTTTAACTTAGGACTTTATGAAATGAAATCTCAGAAAATTTCTACTTTCAAATTTTCGTTTTGCAGCACCTATATGGCCTAATTGATACTATTTGATAAACTATTGAAAAATTGGATGCGTGAATTAACACAAATAGTACAATAGGAGTGATGACCATTTTCAATTGTATACTATAATTAACTAAACTGCATATTAATAAATATCTAAGAATAAGTATGAGTACATACTAATTACAAACAAAATTTTTAGCATAAAAAAACAAAATTAATAAGAAATATTGTTAGGCTATTTGAAATTTACAAATAATATTTAAACTTTTGGATGTTGTTTGAATGTTACTTATAAAATCTTGTCACTTGTTGGCTTATATTTAAGATTTTGACAGAAACATATATTTTATAGCATTTAGAATTTAAACGCATGATTTCGAAAAATGTGCAATTTCCCATCACTAATCATATTATTTTATTAACCTTCATATAATTTTTTTAAAGAGATTTAAAACATACAAGCATATAAATTCAAATTCTGCAACAGAATATCATAATAATTTTTTAAACTACAATTTCTCTTAAAGTTAACAAGCTAGTTTATTTCATTTCAGCTAATTTTTTATAATAAATAAAAGCCTTATATTCATCTGTCTCAACTCCATATCCATGAAGATAACAATAAGCAACCACATCTATTGCGTCAGTATAATTCATATTAGCAGCTTTTTGATAATAGATAAATGATTTATGTTCATCCACTTCGACTCCCATTCCGTTTTGATAACAACGTCCAACAGTATATATTCCGTGAGCAAGACCCATGTCAGCAGATTTTTGATAGTAACTAAATGCCTTATTTTCATCTGTTTCAACTCCAGTTCCGTATTCATAACAACAACCAATATTATAAGTTCCGCTCATATGACCCAAATTAGAAGCTTTTTGATAATGAATAAATGCTTTATTCTCATCTTTATTAACACCAATTTCTGAATCGTAACAAACGCCAACACTATATAATCCTTCAGCAAATTCCTTATCAGCAGCCTTTTGATAATGAATAAATGCCTTATGATCATTTTTTTCAATCCATTTACCAAAACGATAACATCTTGCAAGAACGATTTGGGCAATAGGATCATTTTGATTATCTAAGCACCAATTTATAATATTAACAGGATTTTGCTTCTTTTTTACTAAAATTTGATCTAATGAGTTAATGACTGAATTTAAATCGTTACATTTTAAATGTTCTTCATTGTATTTATTATATAATTCTTTAACAATTTCGTAAAATGAGCCGTCATCTTTTAAATCTAATTGGTTAAAATTATCAATTATTTGGGCAATTTCATTTGATGAACTGATGGCCTTTTTTAGATGTTCAGCGGTTAAATTATTTGACATTTTTTAAAACCAAGAAATAAATCTGGTATGAAAAGTATTATTGTTACATATATAAAAATATACGTAATACTGTGTCGTATTCGGCCACTTGGTGTAACTATGATTAAATGATATGCATCGTTTAATTAATTGGTTAAAGAGTGTTGATAACAAGCTTTTTTTATCAAGTGTACATTTTTTTAGTATGCACTTATAAGAAGTTAATAATTAACAAGATATTTGTAAATGCGTGCTACAGAGGATAATGAAAAAATGTAAATTTTTGAAATTTTTGATATCCAACCCATTTTTCAGCATTATAATAATATTAATGAAGATGTTAGTTTGGTGACTGGTATTTACGAATTCATACTTACTATAAAAAATAATTTATGCTATATTTGGATAATAATGTATTAAAAGTATTTTTTATTTCAATAATTGACTGAAATGTTCCATATCGATATTCTAAATTTTATTCATGCAGTGTGACATGTATTACAAATAAACGGTATAAGTTATATTTAGTAAATAAATAATAAATAAAAATATAGATTAAAATATAGTGTGTTTAAAAAAATTCTTGGCGAAGCAGTAATTAAAAAATAAAAAGAGACATGACTTTTATGCTAGTAGGTGTTAAAAATGAATCAAATTTATCTTATTATTTTGATATTTTAATAATCATCTATCAATACTAATGAGTACTGGTGTACCAATTGATGCTTCTTATAAAGAAAAAATCCAGAAATTGTCCAGGCAAAATATACCAAACACAAAGATCAATAATTAATTTTACCTTTGATGTGGTGATATCATCTGAAAAGGTGTTTTCTGGAGTAGATTTGTCAAAATTTAAAGCATCAAAAGCCGTAATCCATATATAATTTGATCTATAAAGAATAAAAATTTGATTAATAGGTGAAGTTTCTGAAGTAATTATATTAATAAATTATAATAAATAAAGCTTGAAATGCATTATAATTACCATATGCAATTAATATATAATTTCCATAAAGTATTCAAAATGACTATAAAACGAAGGCACAAGATTAGAGTTGAAACATTGGAATTGACCAACTATATAGATAAATGTATCCAGAACCACAAGGCTAGGATTAATGGTTTATGATTAAATGCATCATAGTTTCCACCAAATGTTATAACACTAGATAGCTGCGCGACGTCGTCATGCGAAATCAGGAACGGAAGACTGGATCGTGGTTAAATTTGAAAGAATAAGATAATAAAGAAAATAGTTTATTATTAATTCAATTAGCCATATGAGAAAAAGGGAATTCATCTAATCTTTGTCGTGTTTTAGTAGTGATATTTATATAAACCAGTTAAAAAGTCTTATTGATTTTATAACAACAATGATTAGATTTTTGATTTATTTTGCTATGTATTGGTGTGCGACTCAATACAGTGAAACCTCTCTAAGTGCATGCACTCGGGACCAGAATTTAACGACGACGTGCACTTAGAAAACAATAAGGAAAAGAGCATTTATAGAGGTCATATATACATTTGGGTCAGAATTTGTGTGTGCACTTAGAGAGGTTTCACTGTAATATAGTAAAACCTCCATAAGTGCACCCTCTATAAGTGCACACCCCTCTCTAAATGTATGCTCAAGTTCTGACCAAATATATACATACCTCCTATAAATGCACTTTCTCTTATTAATCTCTAAGTGTATGTTGTCCCAAGTACGTACATTTATATATGTTTACTGTATTATTTAATGATTTGTTAAACTATGCAGGATTGAAGGTTTTTATACAACTGGAATCGATAAAGTTAATCACATTGCATTTAATTTTAATTTTTACCATATAGGATTGTTTATTTATCTCTCATAAAAAAGAAATTATCAAACTAAAAGAATAATATAGACTATTTTTAGAACATATTATTAACAAGTTATGCATAAGATAGCTGCATAGCACGTAGGATTAGTACGATCATACGTGCAAGTAAAATTCAAAATATATAAGATAGTTGTACAATGTTGTTGCATTAAAACTTATGAATAAAAAATATAAATAAGATATGTTTAGATCTAAATAATTTAATCTGGCAATATATAGGTCTTTGCCTTGAAAATGACCTTATGAGACTATGAATAAAATTTAAAATTTCTAGCCATCAGTAATCCAATTAAAATAACTTTTTTTTTTACTTTATAAGCTTAGTGAGTTCGACAAAATAAAATTATTTGAGAAATTTTAATTTTTTTTCATAAAATCTACGGGACACTTGAAGAACAGTTAAAACCCAACCCGGGTATCCTTATGTCAAGCAAATTTCGGGCTTAAGATCATTTCCGGCCTAAAAATTTTGGGTCATAGTATATCAAAAATTTACTATATATTTAGTATATAAAAATGCTCCCTATGACTAAAATTTCGTGCCGAAAACTTTTATTTAAAGGTCGGAAGTTAGTTAGCATAGTAAAATTTTGCGTTATTTACAATTTTTTGCATTTTCTTATATTTTTTGTGTTTGTTTTGTTACACAAGA